AAGTTTTGTTCACTGGATGGGTTATATGCAAAAATATCATTTCATGAGTGGTGGGCAGGCATCCTGAGAGCAGAGGTGGCAGTACTGCAGTTCACAGCAGTACTCCACTGCAAACACAATCAATTAACTTAGAAGTGTACTTCTGTGCCTTTAGAGGCTCTGGAAGGTATGCATTTGTGACTGTACATATAAAATAAGCAGTTGGATGCTCACTTTGTGTAGTACTTTAGAAAGCACATCCGCACATAGATGTGCTTTATTTTGCCTCCTAAGTTTTATTGTTTTAGGCAACAGTGATTGCTGAGTGGTTTCCTTTAGTAATGGTCTATGCCTTTTAACACAACAGGTCTTCTTTTCAATATTTTCAGCTTGTTCTTTGGCTGTTAATCATTGCATTTTTACATTGCATTTTATAGTATTAGTCTGCTTTCTGGCTTTGAATTTTTTATCTTTCTTTAAAATCTGTATGAATGCTTTGAAGTACTTTCTGTCAATTCCATTTTAGTTTTTCTGTGGTAGGTTAGGTTTAACGTAAGAAAGAAGTATACCCATCTACTTACGGCAAATGGCATCCTAAAACTCTAGAACTGCTTTTGTTTCAGTTGAAAGCAGTTGAGCCCTTGCCTCTGGCCTGAAATAAAGCATAGCGAGCTCCAAAACCAAAGTAAACAACTTTGTAAACTTACAAACATTTAAAAAATGGGTATCTTGGGTTCTTCTGTAGTGCTGCAGTGAGTGGTGCTCACAGTAGCTGTAGTTTTTAATGCCATTTTTGATTGAGTGTTTTGGCTGAAAGAAAACTTAAGCGTGTGATAGTTCTCTTTAAGACCATAATGACAGTGGGATAACAGCTGTGAATGCTCTTGGTGGTTAGCATATGAGATTTTGGTTTGACTCTTGTCCAGTGTACATACTAGGGTCTGTGTTTGCATGGCTTACACCAGGCTTGTAGATACTTTAATATATTAGGGAGACAAGCTACATGTTTGGTGGGTTATTGGTGGTTAGAGTGGTTAGGAATGGGAAACCAGAAGGAATACAACCAAAAAAACTTGCTGGAGAATAAAAAATCCAGTTGTGTAGAGCTAGGACAGCATCAAGCAGCATTTGAGAAGGAAGAGAACTAACCCTGCTGCTGATGTGTCAGAGTTAAACATTCTCCTTCCAAATGTACATCACAGACTTGCCAAAGTGGAACCCTAGTAGTAATGCATGCATTGTATATTATAAATTACCTGTTTGCATCTAATCTCTGTCCTTTGATGCAAACCAGACCCCAAGGCCTGTGATGGAACTGATGGTTATCATTGGAATGTAGCACTGAACACATGCAAACCGCTGCACAAATGTACAGGTAAATGTTGTGAGACCTTTGCAAAGTAAGAAGGAACATCCCTTTGGGGGACTTAGGATTGAATGAGTGTCAAAGCTAGGCCAGTGGTCAGTCAATTGACCACAGTGGTCTGTAAAATTAAGTAAACTGTTCCCAATGCTCCTATTTTATAGATGCTAGTTAGTGACTTCATTAGTCTGTCATCTCATAGGCTCTCACCATGTTTTGCAAACACTGTAAATGCTATTGTGGAGGTTTTTTTTATTTTTTTATTTTTACTTTTTGACTTTTAATCACTTTGTCTCTTTGAACAGTTTTCCCTTAGATGACATTTTTCAGCTATCTTACATCTTGCTTAATCATGTGTTGTTTTGGAGGAGTCAGACAGACTGGAGACACGAAACTTTCTAATACCATAGAATATCTCTTTCTGTACTTTTTTCCACACCTGGTCAGTTACACTTGTGGGAGAAGATGGTTCATGTGTCAGACCAGACATCCCTCTAAAGAAACATACAAGGGAGACAATAAGTATCTTTTTCTCCAGATTAATGTCACCCCTTTTGGCAGGAGTCAGATTTCTCTCAGGGTGATAAATGTTCCTTAAGAAATTATTTGCCATTTCCCTTGAAAAATGTCCCAAGGTTGCTCCAAGGATTGAAATGTTACATCTGCTACTGTTCTCCTTTGCAGTCAGGCTTTTATGCAGCTGGTGAGTGGGGAAGTAAGTCACTGCATTTGGCCAGATGTGATCCTCTGCTGTCATGCATACACAACACCTGCAAATTCTGCTTTTTTTTTTTTCTTCTTTTAATGCCCTATAACCTGTTATCTGCCATTTGTTCTTCTCAAAATTAAGTATTATCATCTGTATTTATCCTTCCTCTGGCTCCTTGCTGAATGTCTTCCTTTCTTTCATGTACAGTTATTTTCAGTTGTGTTCCCGTGACTTTATCCAGGCCTTCCTTCTTCTCCCATTGTCATAGATTCCTTGCACAGACCCTGGCCACCTGTTTCTCACCCTTTGCATCCTTGTCTTAGGTGTGTTTTTTTTCGGTATCTCACCTCCTTCTGTTATTCCTCTCTTTATCCTAATCTTTTATTTGTTGTCATGGAAATGTACCCACTGTGACTTCTAAATAATAGACAAAGACCTGCAATTTTATTTTGTAAATTCTGGACTGTGAAGACAAAATTGAAAAAAAAAAGCGCCAAGAAACAAAAATCTGTGAGAGAATGCCAAAATCTTGAATAAAATTGTATATAAATAATTGCTTTTAGACAGAGGAAGATCTTCTAATCTTCTAATCATGTGGCATGGCAACCTTGCATTGTATTATGTAGGTCAGAATCTAAGAAATTTCTGTTTCTCAGTGTTTGTCATTACTGTATCTTTCATGATTAAATGCTGTGGAGTATAGAGGACCAAGCAAATAATAAAATGCCATACTGTGAAACATGCTTCCAAGCTGGAAACCAGCTTTTATGATTTTATTTTAACTTCCTGAGAGCTCTTTTTGTGCTTCCATTTTAGAGAATGCAGAAACATTCCTAACCTCATGAAATAAAAAACAGAGAAAGCAACATCTTGAGGCATATCTGTTGCAGAAGGCATTGGCTTATTCTTTGCACTTGTGGTATATGGGCCTAGATAAGCTCCTTGGCTTCTCTGCTTTCTCTGAGTTTTGTTCCAGAAAAATTCTTTGTTCAGAGATACTGAACAATGTGTTTGTCTTCCTTGGGCTTCAGGAACTGCAAACTGCACAGAAGTCCTTATCTTCTTCTGAATGGCATACTTCCAGTTAGTGTGGCATAACATGGGGACTAACATACTTAGTGTTACATTAATTTTGTGGAAAGCCCAGAAAGAGTGCTGTTTAACTGTGCACCAAAATTAAGATGTTGGTGTACTTCGAGCCACATACTGAAACCCACACTGCTTCTGTGGTTACTTGCACTGAAAGCAGTGAGCAAATAGCTGGAGATATTTTTCCCAAAATCATATATGCCTTACCATTAGTGCAGTTTTCTACATAAAGAGAAATGAAAACAGTCTTTTTGAAAGGAGACCTTTTTGTCTTGTATACTCACACATGCATTAACACATACAGAAGGCGTGAGTAATTTTTAAAGATGGAGCTATAAAAGGAATCCCTAAACCCAGTGACCTCCAGTTGGGGTTAGTCCTAACTTATATGGACCACCAGTACGGAGATTCTTTTTATTGTTATGGCTAATCTCTAAGACTTGGCAGCATCATGCATTTATGTTTCATATGTACTTCTGAAAATATGGAATGAATGAGAGTTTAAATAGAAATTGAGAAGTGATTATAGCTCCATAACAGCTCTGTTTGCATTGTGTTAATGTGGTGTTTCAGCTCCCCAGGTATATAAGTTATGTGGTTAAATTGCCAAGATCAGGGATTGCAAGAAAAGTCTAGGAATGCTCTTCCAGATGCTTGGATGCTCAGTGAGGAAGGGAATATAGAAGTGGAGGCTTCGTGTGAGGGTTTTTGGGGAAATTAAGCCTGTGCTGTGACAGCCACCTTCATTGCCTTCACAATTAGTCTGATATACTAGTTTTCTAACTTCTGTTCCTAAGATCATTTTAAAGTTACACCAAAGAGGGAGTACTTGCAAAGTATGCTATTGCTTGTTTCTTCTTTTTTTTTGTTTGTTTGGTTTTGGTTTTGTGTTGGTTAGTTTGAAATGCAGTAACTACTTTCCAAAGTATATTTTTTTAGAATTATTTTTTTTTTGCATTCTTACTTGTCCCATTTCATATTTCAAAGTACTTTGGCTAGTGCTGAGTATTCTGTCCCTGAGGAGCAAGTTATACATCCTGCTCAGCTTGAGGGTTTCCAAAGTTTCTCTGGAAAACTTCCAACTAAACTGGAAGGGCCTGGTTCAAGATGGGTGGCAGGTTAATGGAGAGGAATCTCTCATAAGGAGTCATTCCTCCTGGAGTAACAGGAAAAATGCAGGGAGTATTCACACCAGCTCTGTGAGGTATGACTTCTGTGATGTTCTTCTGCCTCAGGCCTGAAGGAAGGGAATGCTGAAATGTATCAATGCAAGTGCAGCACAGAAGAAGGGGGCCATGACTTTACAGGCCTTTGAGCTAGAGAGGCTTCTATTCAGCAGTATGCAAAAGGGATTGGGGCCATGCCAGTGGCATACTGGATTTTGGGAAGACTGCTATCAGCAGCTGAGCAGGTGCATCTGCTACAGCTTTTGTCACTTCTTCTGTTGAATAAGAAGAGCTGGAAAAGGACCAAAGCAATAATATAATCCAAAAGCTCTATGTCGTGGTGTCCCTTGTATAGAGATGCCAGATTATGGTATGAAATAGGATTTTTGGCCCCATGCTGAACATGCAGTGCATAACAAGATTACGTACCACAGGAATGAAAATGTGGGCCCCCCAGCATCGGCTCATGACTATGTCTTAGACTTCAGGTTGCTTCCTCCTAATTCTTTTCTGTGGTTCAGAGCTTCAGACTTATGTGCTTTTGTATTTATGTTGTTTATTTTTATTAAAAAAGTTATAAATACATATGTCCACCTGTTCATCTAAATGTATTTCTGTGTATACATATTTTGTATGTATGTTTGATATCTATTTCAGAAAGAGGTTTATTTCATTTTTTTGTTTCATCTATCAGTTTTCTGAAAGCAATCAGAAGAAAGAGGCTTTACAAAAAAGCATTGAGAAATCAAAAATTGGACGTGAAGATACTGTAAGTTGCTTTATGGGGGGAGGCATTCCTACCAGGAAACAGGGCTACAAGTATGCATGGCTTGTAACTACTAATATCGTAGTTGGAAATCCTTCAAGAATTCTAAATAGTGAAGATGAGAAGGGGACAAAAAAGCCCAAACAGATTATTCCTTAGTTGATCATGCAGTAATGAGTAAAATATTGACAACTGGCTGCCCCATGGCTGTGAAAGTGCGTGACTGCCTGCAGTCTGGTAATCTTCCAGACTTAAATCTTGAACTACTCAGAGATACATACCAAACTTTGCAGTGGTTGCTCAACTGCCAAATCTAGTAACTGCAAACATAGGTGTTACGGGTCTTGGTTTTTTTAGTCTTAGTTGTAATCTAAATTTCTAAATTACTATTCTGAGCAGCCATGTAAACTTGGTGTTCTTTGCATGCTGAATCTGTTAACACTGCAAAATAATATTTAGGCTTCATGTGTACCATACTTATGAATTAGCATATTAGAAATACTTCATTTCAAGTTGCTGATTTGTTTCGTGATAGTCAGTCTAAAGTGGTTTAAACCTCCAATAAATAAATGCATAAACAAGGGCGGTCAGAAGCTTTCAGATGGAACTCAATTTTGTAGGAAAGTGCCAAATCTTACAATTCAAAATGTTTTATCTGGGTTTGATTGTCGTCAGGGAAATACAAGTAGGTTTCTCAGTTGTCCTTGTCAGACTGTTTGAGACTTGAGGTTCTCCACCATGTGGCCTGCCCTAGTCATAAAAAGCTGTCGGTCCTGGAAATCCTGTTGACTGATGCTTCCAACATTTTGATTCAGGATTATATACATCAGGAAGAAGTCCTGAGAAGTCTGGATCACAGTGTGGGTCTCTGAGCAGTTACCCTCCAAACTCCAGGGTCTCGAAGCTTTCCATTTTCAATCTGTGTTTTCAGAATGTACTGAATCCAGACTGTTTGTAAAAATACTGGGACTATGGAAGTCTGAAAAAAACCCCAAAAAAAGAAACCAACCAAACCAGCTCAGACTGATGGGCTGCTGTGGGAATTACCATTGACTAAAACCCTGATGGTTTACAAACTCGTGCTATCTAGCTTTTTTAGGCTACCAGTGCCCTATCATGAGTCCTCTGAATATCAGCCAGTCACTGTTTGGCTGTAACTACAATCCGAATTATGTACTGTCTTGGCCATGGGAGAGCTCATGTTCATCATATTGATGATCATATTGATTTCATTGCTCAAAAGAATCTTTCAGACTGATGTTGTATACTCTCCCAGAAAAGACTGCTGCATCATAAATATCTGAATGTTTTTTTGAGGCCGCTGATCTTAAACAGTGTGGGGGGAAAAAGGAGAAAAATAAATTCAGAGGGTGTTCATACACAGCATTTCAATTTGTGGAGGTGTGAGTGGTAGGTTTTTCTGTAATGCTCTCTTTAATTACTAGACTAGCACTCTTAAGTGTATTTAACCTTTAAGCCAAACAATTAAGACATCTGTTTGGAGTTTATCTCAAGTTCAGAGGTTGTAAAAAATTGTTCTTTTGTTTGTCCATTTTGGCCTTAAATTACATATTTTTACTGTTTAAAAAATGTTCTGTGCAGTAGTTACTGATTTTTAATTTTTGCTTTTTTTTTATATTGCCCAACATACTTTAAATCCTTAGGCAGAACGTGCAGCTCTAATAAAGGAACTTGCTGCCCTTCAGCAGAAAAAAGAGCAGCTAAAGGCAGAAATAGACAAATACAGAGAATGTGATCCCGACGTCATTGAAGAAATGCGTAAGTTTTCTATTGTTTAAAGTGAACTTTTGCACAAAAAGATCTGCATTTCTTTAGCTTAAAATCTGATATGCAGAGATAAGCTAAAGAAGAGCTGCTTTTCTTTTTAAAGCTGTAAGCAATGCAGATACACTGATTGCTTCTTTTCATGTTCTGATTTATTATATAGGGGGGTTTTATTGATACTTAGACTCTGCTAGCAACTGAGCAGTTAATCCTAAAATTTAAATACTCTAATGCATTTGAATTAATATCTGGGCCATTCTTCTTAGGACCCTATTAATTCTATCACTTCTAAGTGTGCTGACCCCTAGAATGTATGTTGAATGAGTAGTCTCTGGCTCCCATTTACTTTTAATTCCATGCTGGCAATACAGGTATCTTTCTACTTACTTTGTCTTGTCTATTTAGCACATAAGCATTTCATTAGAGACACAGCTTTCATTGATCTGTAAATATGGTATTACACTGTTGACTTTGTTTGTACTGTCTCTGGCATACTGGGTTTTGGTTGGAGTTTCTAATTCTAATGGAGGTAAGAGGAGTGATGAGTGACTAATACTTAATTCAGAATTGGGCACTGAAATTTATGGAATATTCTGATCCTTTTCATGAGAAGATGTCTGACTGAATCTTTCACTTTCCTGATTCTTCTAACAAAGTACACAGCTTTAGAAATGTGCTGAGAAAAGCCAGGAACAGAAGCAGAGTTGGCAGCACGCACCAAAACAGGATGGATGTTATTTATTTTGGATGTTATTTATTTTGAGGGGCTGTGACTTTTTTTTTTTTTCAGCTGCATTATCCTTCCCCAAGGATGTAATGGTATGCTAAGGAATAAGCAGACTCAGGCAATGGAAGGTGTTTAGCTACACCTGAAAGTTATTGCTGCTGTTTGACAGAATAAACTTGTAATCAAAATTATTGATTGTGCTGCTTTTGGCTGGGATAGCATTAATTTTCTTCATAGTAGCTATGCTATGTGGGGCTATGCTTTGTGCATGAAATGGTGTTGATAATGCAGAAATGTTTTAATTGTACCGTTATATTTTAAGAGAAGTAGTACTGCTAATTTTTCACTAACACTTGCCTGAGTTACTGAAATAAGATACCATCATCTTATTGTAGAGCTCTCCCTGAAATAATTCACAGACTTTTTACAAGGGCATGTAGTGTTAGGATGAGGGGTAATGGTTTAAAACTGAAAGAGTAGGTTTAGATTAGATGTTGGGAAGAAATGCTTTACTGTGAGGGTGGTGAGACCCTGGAACAGGTTGCCTAGGGAAGTTGTAAATGCCCCCTCCTTGGAGATGTTCAAGGCCAGCTTGAGTGGGGCTTGGAGCAACCTGGTTGAGTGGGAAGTGTCCCTGTACCTGCACAGGGGTTGGAACTAGATGATCTTCAGGGTTCCTTCCAACCTAAATCATTCTATGATTACTGCTGAGCAGTGTTTACACAGAATCAAGGCCTTTTCTGCTTATCACACCCCACGCCACTAGCAAGTAGGCTGGAGGTGCACAGGAAATTGGGAGGGGACACAAGTGGGACAGCTGACTCCAACTGACCAAAGGACTATTCCATACCATAGGACATCATGCTTAGCATGCAAATCTGGGGGAAGAAAGAAAAAGGGGGGACATTCAGAGTGATGGCCTTTGTCTTCCCAAGTAACCATTATGTGTGATGGAGCTTTCCTGGGGATGGCTGAACACCTGCCTGCCTGTGGGAAGCAGTGAATTAATTCCTTGCTTTGTTTTGTTTGTGTATGTGGCTTTTGCTTTACTTTTTAATCTATCCTTTACTCAGCCCATGAGTTTTCTCAGTTTTACCCTTTCAATTCTTGCTCCCATCTTACTGGGGAGGAGTAAGCAAGCAGCTGTATGGGATTTAGTTACCAGCTGGGGTTAAACCATGACACTGGTTCACAGATTTTAAAGCATTTTCAAACTGCACATGAGTGAGGATGTTCTACTAGCTGTGCTATTTGGGTAATATAATCCTTGTGTTTCTTTTCATTTAGATCACCTGACCAGATTGCTAACTCTAAATTACCTTATTTTAATTTTGAGTCAGAGATCAGAGATGGCTTTTGTGTTACATAATTGAGCTCCTTTTTAAGAGTTGGACTGTTCAATATAAGATGTTTTGTAATGGGCAGTTACCACTTTCTCTATTTGGCATCTCCCTCTTCCTTACACATTGAAGTAATTAAGGAAATTTTTCTGTTCAGTATAATATTGTTCTGTTCAGTATAATATTTCAATCTATTAATTTCCCATCCCATATCTTTGAGCTGCCTTGATTTTTGTTGTGGTATTTTAAAGATTGTCATCTGATTTCAGTGGTCTTCAAATTTAGTGAGTGCTTTACTATGTCTTTTTAATTGCTCTTTCCCTCAAAGAATTATTGCAGAAACAAACATATCCTATAGTGAGGAGCCTTATTAAAATATATACACTAATTCTAGGGTCAAAACAAAGTTTGGATGGTTATAGCAAATATCTGAAGACTCAGTTAAAAGCTGAACATCTGTCTTGCTTCCTGAGTCTTGTGGTGGGAAAGTAATGTTTGACCATGTAACTAAAATATGCTATAATGCATATTCACTAGGGGGCAAATCAAAATACTAAAATACTAACTCTGTTTTTTTCTGACTTCACTGCGTGTCCTTTTAATATCAGTAACAAATGTTTTGCTATATGTTTCGGCTTAATTTCCTTGGCTTTTGTATTGGAGAGCTGAAGTATAAACTCTAATGCCTTCCCAAGTTTATAGCATTTTAATCCAGAATTTCAGTATTTGTATGTAACAATCAACTACAGCAAATAGCAGAACAAACAAGATTTAGGGACTGACCACTAGAGGAAGCTACATAATAGTCTTGTCTTGTGGATATATTTGGATAATTCCATTTTACAGATAGGGCATTGTAAAAATACATCTTTATTCTAAAAACTACTGCATTTCAATGGTTGAAGTTTGTCTTTGCCACTTGGAAATGTTGTCTAAGCCATCTTGTCTGAGTTAATTGAGTTATAAGTTCTTCCTCAACATTGAAGGCAGTTAAAATGGCAATAGTCATCAGAATTAAAATCAGACAAAGAAACAAAGCTCACCAAAAGAACTGAAAACCAAAAAACAAACCCCAAAACTTTGGGTTTTTATACTTCTCTGTTAAACTTGTAAAGCTTCTTCAGCTAGCAACAGAACAAAGACCTCGTTTCTCAGCTTAGGGACGTATTTTTTGTATGCTGGAAGGGTATTCTCACGGGGAGGTAGCCATTCTAGAGAAGAGATTCTCTGCTTCTCCAGGAGAAAGGCTGATAGGACATAAGGTGTGTGTATGCAAAGGTGGTTGGATACATGTGATGCTGCTAGATTCCTTGAAGATAGAGGAGAAGAGCATGAAGAATGTAAGCTTTCCGTAGTTCATAATTTGTCCAGATTTTTGTAAGGCAAACAAAAGAAGCTTCCTGTAACATCAGAATTAACCTGCTGCATAAGTTTAATTATTTCTGCCCATCAGAAAGAAATGTTAGGGAGATAATAATTTTTTTTTTTTACAATTAATTTTCTAGGAAGGTTTGTCTGGCAGCCTAAGTACTTAAATGATATGGATTATACTCTGAGTTGTTGGCCAGCTTGTAACTGGAAATAGCTAAATGTAAAAAAATGTAAAATAAACATTTATAGAATGTCAAACTTCTTGTTCTTCCACTGTAGCTAGAGGAATGTTGATTTATACTATACTAAAACATTGGGATGCTTTGGTTACGTTGTGTCTTTGCATAGGACAGTAATCTCAGAAATAGTTACATACTGACTTATGTATGTGTCTCCCTGTGGTTTGATTTCTAGTATTTATAGGGCTGGTCTTACATGTTGCCTGTCAGCATTCCTGTTTTATTTAGCATGTTTTTAGAATGTCCAATTGCTGATAATTCTTATGTCTTAGATTTTTTCCTTTAAAACTCTGATCTGAACTTGCCAGGACTAACTGTATTCTCCAAAATTAGCAAACTGCCAGATATAACCATGCATAATGTAGCAATTTTTTGTGTCAACCATTTTGCTTCTGCTCTCTTTGTTTATTTTTATGCTGTGGCATGAATTGTGAGTCCTTCAAATGAACTGGATTTCAAACCACAAATACCCAGAAAGTTACCCTTCTGAATCTTTGGAAGTGGGATCTCAGAGGCATCACTACTAGACCAGTGAAAGTTTAGATTATTTTCTAAAACTAATACTTACATGGCTACATGAGAATAAAATTTGGAAAAACATCTGGACTTTACTGAATGCCATGAAAATGTCATTCTATATGCAGTATGTACTTGAAGATGTCTTTTTTCATTGTAGATGCTTCAAAAAATTCTAATTCTAATATGTTTAAACACTGAAAATGACAACTTGACAAGCTGTTGTGAAGAATTATATGGGGCTATGCAGATAGTATAAGAAAAAATGTCTGGGTTTACCAGTTTCTCCATTCACTTTAGTATATTGAGGCTGCTGAAACGGTAATGTTGATTTAGCTGCTGGGTTTTGTAGGGTGCATACTTTGGGTTTTGGGTTTTTTGCTGTTGTTTTGGATTTATTTTTGTTGTTGATACACTCAGGTATTATATTCAAATCAATTTGAAAATGTCTTATGAATACAGATGTATTTAATGTTATAAAAACTTTGTACTAAATGCTAGATTCTTTTTGGAATTTCTTACTAATACTGGGAATAATCCCTGTTCCCAAAGCAGGGATCAGTAGGAAAGAAATAAACTGAAGATTAGACTATACTAGCTGATGGAGAGGCTTTAAAATGAGTTGCATCAGTTTTACTCAACATTTGTCAAAACACTGATAATTTACAGAATTGTTTCTTTTTATATTTTGTGGCAAAGTCTGTTGTTTAGAAAATATCTGAGCAAAGTTGTTTAAAATAGAGCCTTGCCAGTATTTTTGGTTAATGAACTATTAGGTAGCTATTTTTATAAACTTAATTA